CCCCAGTTTTTGAGGCGATCCGGCCCTACAAGTCCCTGCCCCTTTAAAAAAATCTCTTTTAAAAAATACATTACTTGACAGGAATACACTCTAGTTATGAGAATTGTTATTAAAAAATATACCTCATGAATGCAGGTACTTTTCGTTGCCAGTTTCCCAAACCTTTTCGCGATCTATTACTCGGCTAAGAATGATGACTTATTGCTAAGCGTTCGGTAAGTTTATTGTACCACCGTGACTGAGCTCATTTTTAAACAGACTTTTTCAGGCTCATCTTGAGGGGAGAAAATATGCAACGCCTTGTCTATACAATAACTCAACTCATAGTCCACTTGTGCTCAGTCTTTTCGCTTACTGGGTAAAAACCTTTATACAACATTTTATGAATGAATAAAGAATTCAGATAACATAATGTAGATATTGATTCTTTAAATATAGCTATGTCAAGAATATATGTGCGTAGATAACTTGACCTGAAATTGTAAAGTTGATTGGCTAACTACAATATGAATCAGATCTTCTAATCTTTAATTAAGAAAGACCAATTCAGGTGTAAGACCAATTCAGGTTTCATGGCTGTTTCTTTCGATGGAATGCTCTTCAAGTCTGCAACAAAAAAACCCCTCCTTCAGTTTATCGTTTGCTATTCGATAGCGATTTCTCTTTTCTGCGTATCAGCGTTTGCAAATAGTGGAATCGTGAATTTGTATGTGTCGCCAACCATGACATATTTCATGATCACAATAGATTTTTTCACTTTCTTAAAGCTTCGAAAAGTAGGTTGAAGTCATGATTCTCAATAAATGTGAGATTTAGGTGAGTAACTCCCAAGCAGCTTCAAGGGCGGAGAGACGTTTAATGATTCAGGTTGGCTCAGGTTCAGGACATTTAATGAAAAATTGGTTACTTGAAAATTGAGTAGAAAAATTATAATCAAAATTGCCTTCTTTTTGCCAAGACATGATCTGTTCTAGTTTTTTTATCTGCCATCCTTGGCTCCTCATCCAACTAGATCTTCTGAAGATAAAAAACGAGTCACAAAACGCTTTTCAGATGATCGGTAGCTCAACATACTACTTTATGTACTATTTTGTCACAAGTCTGATCGCCATTGTACAGTATCCATTCTTTGGCTACTACTTATCTAATGTGGCATTACAAGTGAACTCAAATGTCTCCTTATGGCTTTTTACGTTTGGATTGAGGTTTTGCGGGATTTTCTCAGTTTTAATTTTGACGCCTTGGTCTAGCTATTTAAACATGGTCTACCTGAAAAAGAAGGTGTCTTCACCGGATGAAAAAGGAAAGTACAACAACTCAGCCTCTCCTCAATCCGTCAAGAGTACAATGGTCACCAAGAGCTCTAACTCGACACCCAAAATCTGATTTCCTTTGTCGTTTTTATGAAAAGCGTGTATTTTCATAACTTGGATCTCATCTCATCTCTGAAAATGAACATTTTTGAGATGAGATGATATGAGAAAATTGTGGCAATGAGACTAATTTTTCGAAATAAACCTTCATCCTACTCTTTTACCCACTCTTTTATACTCAATCTTCAATACTTTTATTCAAATTCCTAAAACTCACCGGGCAAGAAGGGTTACATTTAGCGAAAGCCTCGGCGCTGATCACGGAAATGCCGGCTGGAATTGTTGACTAATTATTAGAGTAAATGACAAATTTGGAACTTATTAAGCAGTGACATTTGAAATCTTTCCCAAACATGTTATCACATTGAAATCTGAGCTTGGCATAAGAACCTACCCTGACGGCAATGGGGCACATGTATTAGGTTGTCGAGTTTGGAATGCGAAGGATATAGGATCAGAAACCAATTCTCGTTTCAACTTCACAAACAGTCTATTTGCGTTGATTTTATTCTTACAAATATAACAAATATCTTTTAAACTCCTCGTCATCATCTTTATTCAAAGTAACTTTGTTCTTTTTTAGAGTATAAATCTGTTGCTTCTTCGCTCAAGTCATGAATTGCTCTTTTCGAGCAACTTTTCCTTCCAATAAACCTGTTTTAAAATCGTCTAATATCGGGGTTTTGGTTACATTATTCTTACCGTATTACTGGAATAAAGCAGCCGTTACCATAAATTTGCTTAAAAATTAAACCCTAGGTCGCGTCCGTTTCCTTCCTATTTGCGTTGCGATTTTGCAATTATTCGCGTCGCATTTTTTCGTCCTTTTCCTCCCTTCCCGAAATTATTTTTTTTTGGGTCGGCGGGTTTTTGCCTTCTCTCTTGGGGGACTTTGTTGTTTCATTTTTTGATGCGCATGCTGTTTTTGTAATGGGTATTGTTGCATTTCGGTTCTGTACTAATAAACAGTAACGTTATAAATTCACTTGACTTTATGCTGCCCTTCAGGTTTTAAATCCTGTTTAGATAACTGGTTTATAACTGGTTTTACTAACATTTGTGTCACGGGTCGGTCGGGTTAAAGCGGGTCGCACCCCAAACTCCTAGAATATAGCAACTAATCACTATTCAATGATGAAATTTGAAGGGATTTCTTGGTGGCTAACGAATTTGGAAGGACTTTAACACATAGACGATCGCGCTTTTAGCGTTTTAGCAGAAATGCCGTTTCGGGCCAAAATTCAAAATTACTATGTATAACACAAAAACTTGTCACTAGGGATAAAAAATGATCAGGAATTCAAAGTTGTTCTTAGATTTTCACTAAAACTTAAATTTACAACTTTATAAGCACATTTTATCTCTTAACGTATACATATACAAAATTCGAATTGACGTATTGCTGGCCCCAGAAGGTTCTAATAAAAACTAATATCAAGCTTTCAAACACAAACATTTATTTTTTTATGACACAAACACACTTGTTTGTTTCCATCTTCTCAATTCTTTGCGTGTATCATAGAAGATTTGAATGCTGATAAATTGAGAAAGGCAGTTATTTGAAGCTTTGCAAATTTCCGATTATCAAATCAACAAAAACAAAAATGAGCGAAACTTAAATAATTATATTTTCATTAAATTTATAAGATTTAAGAATAATTTCAGGAAAACAATTTAATTTTTTAATAAAAATTCGATTTTCTGAGAGTCAAGAAAATCAGAATCCTTTTTTGTCGAAAATAATATTTATTCGATCACTTTTTTTTTACGTCTGAGAAAAATTAGTTTTCCAGGAGGAATTCTTTCGAAAGAACCAAAAATATTGAAACGTTCATGTGGAGTTGCGATGAGACAAAACGGAAAACGAAAAAACGAAAATCAAAGATCGAAATTTTCTAATTTTTTTTGCCGCTTTTGATTTGTCTCATTGCAACTCCTCATTGACGTTTCAACATTTTTAATTCTGTCGAAAAAAATTGGCCCGGGTCACCACATTTTTCTCGGACAGGACTTACTGTAGCCGGCGATTAGTTTCGAAGCATTCTTGGAATGACATATTTTTCATGCAATTCAAAGTGAAAATTTTTTTCAATTCAAACGCAAAACCCTTACTGTAACTGGTCCATGATCTATTATTATTTTCATCTCAAATTCAGTTCTCAGGTTTAAACTCTAATTATCCTGTTGAAAAATATGTTATTCCAATAGTGATTCAAACTAATCGCCGGTTACAGGAAGTCCTGTTCGAGACAAACGTGTTTCCCCGGAGGAATTCTTTCGACAGAATTAAAAATATTGAAACGTTCATGTGGAGTTGCGATGAATCGAAAACGGAAACGAAAAACGAAAATGAAAGATCGAAAAGTTCTATTTTATTGCCGTTTTCGATTTGTCTCATTGCAACTCCTCATTGACTTTCAACAGTTTTAATTCCATCGAAAGAATTCCCCCGGGGGAGTACATTTTTCTCGGACGGATTTACTGTAGCCGGCGATTTGCTTCGAATGTTCTTGAACTCCTAAGACCCAATTAAGGTTTTTTCCGAGAGGTGGCTGATGGCCCCAAAAATTAAGCTCAAAAAAAGCAAAACTGCAGAGCCTTATGAATTCCCAACAGACAAATCGGTGACAATTATCGCTTTTTTATTGAAGAACTTTGAACTTCTTTGAACTTTTAAAACTTCATTCTTTTCATATAAGACTTTAAACGTGATTGTTTTTCTTTTTGGCACTTTTTTTTAATTTTTTGGACTGCTCAGCGAGGCTTTTCAAAATTCTAAAAAATGTCTAGGTTTTTCTATTCTATGTAGTTATTTAAACACGTAGATTTTATTATTAATTGTTATTTTTCAGCTCAGGTTAATGTACTGTCTTGGAAAGCCAAAAAGATGCATTAAGCGCAACACTATATAGGGTTTCCCAAAGCTTTGGAAACTTTTTAAGATTGGTTTCTGATTTCTGATTGAAATATTGGTCAGTAAACTCCAAATTTCATTCGGAGAAAATGGTTTACTACTGGGGTGATTCGCTAAAGAGGATCTATTTATCGCATATCAGGTGTGAATCAGGTATCAAACCTGTTTACTAACAATGTTTCACGAACCTGAAATCGTCGTAAACTAATGCCATAAATAGCAAAGGATGGATTTTCCTTGTTAAACTCAAAGATTTTTGGACCAACAAGTGAAACCAGGAAAAGCAAGAGAATTCCTTCAGAAAACCACAAAAACATGAAGAGAAACTAACAAGTTAGTTTTTTTGGTTTTGTTTTTCTGTGCTCAAGAGCAGAACAAAGGGCTTATCATCACTGCTTCTCTCCAGGAAATTCGCTGCAGTCCTTTACTTAACTAATCCTAGACTCGAGTCGAGGTATACGTGTCGAGAGAAATGATAAGATGTTGGCACAACTCGAACCAAATGAACCTGTGCTGATGATTTATTGGTTATGCAAAGTGCCGAATTGTAGTTCGACTAGCAATTTTTTGCCAGCTGGTGACCACACCAGGCATGATTTAGCTTAAAAGAACAATAGTGTGCTTTGTGCTTGTTTTAAAGAGATATTCATGTTTGAAGACTTTATCGTTGAATGCAAATAGATAATCAAATTCACTGAAAGAATGATAGCTTATTTTCCATAATCTCCGAAACCACCGAAGCCCCCGCCATAGCCAAAGCCCCCGCCATAGCCAAAGCCCCCGCCATAGCCATAGCCGCCTCCATATCCGTAAGGAGTTCGTTTTGCCCTAAGTTAAAAAGATAATGTGCTTTATTTATTGCTTTTGACTAAAATACTGTTCTTTTTAACAGGCTCCAGTAGTTTTCAAAAACAAGACAAAAAGCAAAGGAAGCCAACCTGATTCCATCATCAGCTAGCCCCGAGATGGCCCTTTTCTTCACAGCTCTAAATATTGAACCTACTGAGAATTAGCTCATTTTGCATTAAACGAGTTTGTAGCTTTTTATTATTTTCATTGAAAGCAAATCAAGATAAAATCATTAGTTTATCTGATTTAATGATTTAACGTCGTACTTAGGTAATTTGTATTCAGGTTTTGACTTTGAGTTTTAGATATTTGAACTTACTCAGTGATCAAGAAGAACCCGAAAATCGCTAATAAAGTGAACCAGACACGCATTTTCTGTAAAAGCCAGTACTGAATTTACAAAGGAAACGGAAGACCAGATTCTTGAAAAAAAGTAAATCACTTAAATTACTGCGATTTCATATTTAGTCAGTGCTTTGGATAAAAATGTCCAATTTGATTTCGATCAAAAGTTTTCAAGAATGCATTCAATTTGAGAGTCTTTGGAAATGGCCAGCAAATGTTTTTCCATTTGATCGACTAAACGTTTGAACAATTCCCTTTTATATTTGGTTCCTCTTATCTCTTTTGATATTTGACGAATTTCTCTTTGATTGATTTGTATTGCCATATCTGTTGACAAAAAGTGCACCCAATCATCCCCCGCCACCAGTTGATTTTGTACACAAAAACGGGGAAGTACTTCCAAAATTCGATCGAATTTGAACCAAAGAAGTAAATTTAAGTGTGATTTAACAAATACAATATAAATTTTATCGCAGAACGCCAAAAATTGAAACCCAAGGAGATTTTTTTGGGTAATTTGTTCAGTTGCAGAAGGCGGCTCTATGTGGGCTCGATTGCAAAAGAAATGGTTGGAAACTTAATTTGGACTCAGTGACAAATAACATTTGATGGCATTAGTCATTCAGCAAAGCGAAGACTTTCCAAATCTTCCAAGATCAAAGATATTTCGATTTTTGAATCTAGATCTATTCTATAATTCAAGATTTAGTTTGGATTTTGTTCACATTTAAACTTGATTACACGGGCATTAGCTTTCAACTCATGAATTGTGTCTTATCAAAAAAAACCAGCCCCATTTCACGTAAACTTTGAAAAAGATCTCTCAAAAATTGCAAAATGGTTGAAAAGGCTGATTCAAAACCTAATTTGGACTCAATTGGACAAGAAATGATTGTAAACTTAATTTGAATAAATAACTTTGAAAATGATCTCTCCAAAGTTTTTTTCCGAAGTCAAAATGTTCTGATAATTGGAAACTTAATTTGGATTCGGCAACAGGTAAATTGGGTTGATGGAAAAGTCCTTTCCGATTTTTTGGGACAGTACCTTAAATTTGTCCAATTTTGACGTTTTATAGCTCATCCTAAAGCTGAATTCAAGACGGATCGATTGGTAAAAACCGTTTTGAGATATCTCTTTTCTAAACGTTTTTACAGCTATTTTAGTAAAGGGCGGCAGAGCCAAAAAATGGCTGTTTTCACGTTTCATTAGTTTTCCGTGCAGAAACCTAGGCTAAAAACATGTGTTTCGTGATCAGCATCAAAAATAACCCCTAGACACGCATTTTCAGAGTCTTAGCAAAAATTTTTTGAAAAATATTGTCACCGGGGGAAGTCGAACCAGCGACCCTCAGATCAATAGCCTTTTCGCCGAGGGCGGAGAAACGTTTAATGATTCAGGTTAGTTCAGGCTCAGGACATTTAATGAAAAATTGGTTGCTTGAAAATTGAGTAGAAAAATGATAATCGAAATTGCCTACTTTTTGCCGAAACAGTTTTTTTGATCTATCATTCTTGACTCATTCAATTAGATCTTCTGAGAAAAAAAACGTGTCAGTGTCAGTCTTGGCTCCTCATCCAACTGGATCCTCTGAAAATACCAAACGAGTCACAAAACGCTTTTCAGATGATCGGTAACTCAACATACTATTTTTTGAACTATTTTCTCTCAAGTCTGATCACCATGGTACAGTATCCTTTCTTTGGCTACTTCTTATCTAATGTGGCATTGCAAGTGAACTCAAAGGTCTCCACATGTCTTTACACGTTTGGACTGAGGTTTTACTGCATTTTCTCAGTCTTAACTTTGATACCTTCGTTTAGTTTTTTAAATATGGTCTACCTAAAAAAGAAGGTGTCTTCATCGAGTGAAAAAGGAAAGTACAACAACTCAGCTTCTCCTCAATCCGTCAAGAGTACAATGGTCACCAAGAGCTCTAACTCGACACCCAAAATCTGATTTTATTTGTTGTTTTCATGAAAAGCGTGAAAGCTAAAAAGCTTTTCACAAGCCTAAAATGGTGGAGAAAGCTTTGTGAGAAAATTTATTAGTGGACATTTTCAATGAACATTTTCATAAATAACACTTTGAATTAAAACTCGACGACTGCAGAGTAAGGAAGAAGTTCAAGGAGAAATGATTGGACAAAGCGAAAATCGTAGAGCAAGCTCTGGGAAAAAGGATTTTTAATTCTTCAGAATTGGCTCATGCAAGCTCTTTACATAGCATCAAAATGCCCAAAACTTTTATGAAAGGTGAATTGGTTGAAGGAACTGATCAGAGCTGAATTTTCCAGAAATTTTATATAGCTACTTGAGTGTGTCTAACTATAAGAGTCATCAAAACATCAGAATATTGGGGAGAAGAGCAGCCATTCTTCGCTCAGGCGTACGTGAAAACTTATGAATTCTTTTCTTGACCAATAAAATATCCTCATAAGAAAAAAGTAAGTTCTGCTTAACTTTACGGGTCGCCTAAAGCATGGGAAAATTCATTTCTGTATCCCGCTTTTGTTTCCAAAGCTCACCCTTGAAATTCTCAGTCGATTTCAATATTCCTTTCTTTTCTTTTGTTCAAACTTTCCCTTTTTGTCTGAGTTTCTTGCCAATTTCCAATCTTTTTTTCCTCCTGCAAACGAAACAACGAAAATTGATGAGAAGATGTAAGATGAGAAGAAAATTGTACTAATGGATCAACGTTCTGTCAGCTTCCAGTCAGACCCGACTCAACCGGGACTCCTTGAGATCAGCTCGGATACATTTTTGCGATTTTGCTATTCGATAGCGATTTCTCTTTTCTGCGTATCAGTCTTTACAACAAATGGAATAGTGAACTTGTATGTGACGCCATATCCGACATATTTCATGACCACAATGGATTTTTTCACTTTTCAAAGCTTTGAAAAGTAAGTTGAAGTAATGATTCTCAAAAAAAATCTGAGACTTAGCTGAGTGACTCCAAAGTTACGATGGGGCAGAGATGTTTAATGGTTCAGGTGATAAATTGGTTATTTGAAAATCGAATATCAAAATCAATAGTAATCTAAATTGCCAAGGCTACTTGCCTTCTTTTTACCTAAACAGAGTCTGTGACTAGTTTTTTGTGATCTTTTAGTCTTGGTTAGACTTGGCTTAGCGGAACCCTATCGAGACCGAGAACAAAACCTGTTATTTTTCAAAATAATCACATTTCAATTGTTAAATTGTTAAAATTTATAATCGGAATTTGTTTTCTGAGTTAAGAGAACAAAAATTTGTTAAAAAACCTCATAAAAATGATAACCTCGGTCTCGTTAAGGTCTCTTTAGGCTAAGTCTAGCCTTGGCTTATTCAATTCAATTGGTTCTTCGAAAGATCCAACTTGCAAGGTACCAAACGAGTCACAAAACGCTTTTCAGATGATCGGTAGCTCAACATACTACTTTATGAACTATTTTGTCTCAAGTCTGATCGCCCATAATACAGTATCCTTTCTTTGGCTACTTCTTATCGAATGTGGCATTGCAAGTGAACTCAAATGTCTTCATACGTGTTTGGACTAAAATCTATTCCGTTCCTCAAGATTTAGTTTGGATTTTGTTCACATTTAAACTCGATTACGCGGCCATTAGCTTTCAACTCACGAAATGTGTCTTATCAAAAATAACAAAAAAACTTATTTCACCTTGAAAAAGATCTCTCAAAAGTTGCAAAATGGCCTGATTATTGGAAACTCAATTTGGACTCGATTCGAAAAGAAATTATTGGAAATTTAATTTGGGCTCAATAACAGGTAACGTTCAGAAATTCAGAAAAGCCATTCAGAAAAGCGAAGACTTTTCGAATCTTCTAGATAAAAGATCTATCTATTTTTAAATCTATAAATTTGCGAGTTTCCTTCAAGATTCAGTTTGGATTTTGTTCACATTTAAACTCGGTTTTAGGCAACGAGGGACGTACGGAAAATGTTTTGGTCGAAAATCCGCGAAGTTTTGGAAGTGCTTGTCGTTGGGTCGATCGTAACAGGTTGGATTTGTCAACTGACTAGGCGAAGCCTAATCGCAAGTATGAGCTTGAGTTTCCCTAGACTGCACTACGGAGAATTGAACCAGTCTGATCTGGATCTGACCCTAAAGCACCAAAACTCGTTGGTGGACTTACTTTGATCATTTCTTTATTATAAAAACAATGCTCCACTTCCAATTCCAGCTCTCAGCAATGTTTGCCAAATGATCAAGTTTGATCTAATGATGAAACGTTCCGTCAACTTCCAATCAGACCCAACTCAGCCAGGACTCCTTGAGATCAGCGGGCATACACTTCTGCGATTTCAAGCTTTTTTCGAATCAGGAAGCGCCTTGGTGAATTTTGTTACAAAAAAGAATAAAACTCATTTGCATACAGGTACTTTTCGTTGCCATTTTCACAAACCTTTTCGCGATTTATTACTCGGCCAGAAATGATGACTTATTGCTGAGTGTTCGGTAAGCCACTGTAACTTTACGGAAGTCTCCGGTTTAATACTAAAGGCACTAAGCTTTTGCGCAGCACGAGTTTTTCATAGGCTTACAAAAAGAAACCTTTTAGACTAATCCTAACGGGCGAAAATGTGCTACGACTCGTCTATACGATAACTCAAATGGTGAACCAATTGTGCACAGTCTTTTCCGATACTGGGTAAAAAACCTTATGAGACTTGTATGTGATCCTTAAAACCCTTACTCATTAGTCTTACTGTTATTGTTTTACAAAGAATATACCTGAAAATTGGCTTGAGATACCATATATAGTGCCAAGTGAATCATATACTTCTAACGGGAATCGGTTGCCCCTTGAAAAATTTCTATTGCAGATGTGCATTTGATGGCATCTCCGGCTTTATTCTCACCCATGGACGAAACTTATCCATCATGATCGCATTTTGTCAGATATTCATCTCAATCTAGTTTCAAAAAAGTGCACTACTTTGGAAGAAATGTTTTTAGTCGTTTCTTGGCTGTTTCTTTCGAGGGAATGTTCTACAAGTATACAACGAAACACACCCTCCTTCAGTTTATCATTTGCTATTCGATAGCGATTTCTTTTTTCTGCGTATCAGTGTTTACAAAGATTGGAATAGTGAATATGTATGTGTTGCCAACTCTGACATATTTCATGATCACAATGGATTTTTTCACTTTTTTTAAGCTTCGAAAAGTATGTTGAAGTAATGATTCTCAAAAAATATGAGATTTAGCTGAGTACCTCCAAAGCAGCTTCAAGGGCGGAGAGACGTTTAATGATTCAGGTTGGTTCAGGTTCAGGACATTTAATGAAAAATTGGTTACCTGAAAATTGTTTAGCAAAATGGTAAGTGCCTTCTGTGCCTAAAGTGCCTTTGTTTGCCAAAACAGTTTTTTGATCTATCAGTCTTGACTCATTCAATTAGATCTTCTGAAGCTACCAAACGAGTCACAAAACGCTTTTCAGATGCTCGGTAGTTCAACATACTACTTTATGAACTATTTTCTCTCGAGTCTGATCACCATTATACAGTATCCATTCTTTGGCTACTTCTTATCGAATGTGGCATTGCAAGTGAACTCAAATCTCTCCAATGGCCTTTACACGTTTGGATTGAGGTTTTGCGGGATTTTCTCAGTCTTAGCTTTGATGCCTTTATTTAGTTTTTTAAACATGGTCTACCTAAAAAAGAAGGTGTCTTCACCGGGTGAAAAAGAGAAGTTCAACTCAATTTCTTCTCAATCCGTCAAGAGTACAATGGTCACCAAGACGACGAGCTCTAGGTCGACAACCAAAAACTGATTCCATTTGTCGTTTTTTTGAAAAACATCTTTGAATTCAGTTTATACAAGAAATGAACATAACACTCGAGAAATATTCAGTCGTAGAAGGCCGCTCCATTCAGGCAGTAACCACCATTCATATTTCCGTTTGTCCCACAACAAGCGGCGGCGCCGTTCTGAAAATGACCAACTTTGAAAAGAGATAGGAAAATTATGACAATCAGTCTGATTTTTTGAAATAAACCTTTACCCACTCTTTTTTTTCTTAATCTTCGATACTTTTATTCAATTTCCCAAAACTCAACGGGGAAGAAGGGTTACATTTCACCAAAGTTTCAGCGCTGATCACGGAAACGCCGGCTGGAATTGTTAACTAATTGTTAGAGTGAATGACAAATCTGGAACTTATTAAGCAGTAAAATTTGAAACCTTGTTCAAACATGGCATCATAAACACTTTTACTCTTCTATAATATATTGCTACATTGTCAGTATCTCGATAGAACTGGAGTAGAGTTTCTGGTCGAATTGTTTTGAGAAATTTTGAGATAAAACTGTCCATACAACATTTCTTCTAATAGAAGTTTACTACTTCTTTTTTTTTGCTTATAGAGAGGTGTCTTGCCTAAATATTTTATCCCTGGTGTTACTGTATTTGCAACTGAACACAAACATTGACCCCTTTCTTCTACAGAAACCTATTTTGATATAAATAGAAAAAAAGATAGAACATAAAAGGTTTGGAGTATAGCTAAATTTCCAGAAAAATTCGCTGCACCGTTTTCTTTGTCTTTCTCTTCTAAGAATTTAAGGTAAATGAGAATTTGCTTGAGAATTTGCATCATAAAGAAGAAACGATGGGATAAAACTAAAATTGTAGAAAAGGCTTTGTGAGAAAGGATTTAATTTTTCAGAATTAGCTTGCAAATCTGGCTTGAAAATACCCAAAAGTTTTATAAAAGGTGAATTGGTTGAAGGAAATGATCAGAGCCTTGAATTTTCCAGAATTTTATATACTTATTTGAGTGTATCTATCTAGTGTATAAGAGTCATCAAAACTTGTAACATTAGAATATTGGGGAGAAGAGAAGCCATTCTTCGCTCAGATTTGCGTGAAAATCTTATGAATTCTTTTCTTGACCAATATAATATCCTCATAAGAAAAAAGTAAGTTCTGCTTAACTTTACGGGTCGCCTAAAGCATGGGAAAATTCATTTCTGTATCCCGCTTTTGTTTCCAAAGCTCACCCTTGAAATTCCCAATCGATTTCAATATTCCTTTCTTATCTTTTTCTCAAACTTTCCCTTTTTGTCTGAGTTTCTTGCCGATCTCCAATCTTTTTTCCTGCTGCAAACGATACAACAAAAAATTGATGAGAAGCTTGCCATATATTGCTATAATTTTTGTATAATTTGAACTGTTCATGCTTTTCACGCACAGGCGACGATGGTTTAGTGTCATTGGTCAGTTTTCTTATGATCTGGTAACAATTTGATTTGTCTTGTTGTTAAATGTGTCCGAAATCGGAATCAAATTTTGCTAAGTATTTAACATCACACGATTTACATTCCAAATTACCAATTTACATAATAAAAGTATTAGGTTGGAAAGAAAGTTCGTAGAAAACGTTTGCACAGTGATTTCTCAGAAACCAAGTCATAAATTCTTCCCAGATCTTTTGATAAACTTGACTATATTTCAAAAAGTTTTGGACAGAAAAATCAGAGTGGGCTTTAAGCAAAAAAATAAGAGATTTCTTCAGCTGAAATGACTTGGTCACTTTTTGAGTGACCAGCCTTTAGAGAAGTTTTTAGTTGGTTAATGAATAGGCAATGGGTCCCATTCAAAACCTAAAATCAAGTACTTAAAATAGGGAAAATCTGGGATTAAAGCAATTTCTTATGTAATGCTTTAACTTTTCAGAATCACCTATTTTAGCAAACACTGAGTGCCAAGATGGGGACACGAAAAAATGATTTTTTGAAATACAGCTTCTCTGTAAAATTCTTTTGGCCAAAAATAGAGATTATAGAGCATATTGCTCATTTATTCTAGCTTTATCTCATAAGGAATCGTTTTTCTGGTGCAAAAAGTGAGCTGAATTTAAGCTGGAAAATAATCATTTTTCAAAAATCCCAAAAATTTTAAGGGAAAAGCTGCACTCATTTTTTACAAGTAATTTCTTGGAGTCGACTTGTAAATAATAGAAAAAAATGTGCTGAATTGGTGGATTCGTTTTTAAGAAAGGCCAGTCAAACTTTCTTTCCAACCTAATAGTTCTAAAGTAGGCAAACGTGAAATGGCTACAGAAAAGTACCAATTCCGCTCAATAGTTGTCTCGCCTGAATACCTTTTTCTCGCTCAATCTTTTTATATATTAAATTTGTTCATTTCCTCACTGTTAAGTCAGTGTTAAATAGAAGTTAAATGAGTTAAATTGTTGCTTTTATTCTGTTTCGTACAAATCTTGGTCGATTTTGCTCGAATTCTTAGCCCCCTTTATTGAATTCGTGCAAGTAACCCGTTTGGTTGAAGGAAAAAGTACAAATAACGGGTAAATTGTGGTTGGTTAACCGAAGCTCGTACGATAAGGCGCAAAAGACAGTCTTGATCAAAAGACACATAAACTAGGGTTAAGGCAAGAAATTTTTGATACAAAAATCAACCAACTTCAGTTCTGACCTCGTTGATTCTAACTTTCTTCCTCTTTATGACCACAATTGGACCCAAAATCAACAGAGATGCTGAAATTGTGATGTTGAACGATGCAAAGGTTTTTACAAAGCAAGTCCTCCAATGTCTCTTTCTAGGACTTTAATGTGATCGTTATCGGTTCTGAAATAGATCCAGCTTCAAGAAAACCAGTCACAGAGACGAAGAGTACTAAAGGGAGCGAGGATTCAAACAAGAAAGTCAGTTCTAATTGTTAGTTAGTGACATTCTTTGTTTAGATTTGTAACGTGCCCAAGCTTGATAAAGATGCCGCGGATGTCGCGAGGTTCTTCAAAAGTGAAACACCGACTCATTGCTATGCACAACCGAATTGGGCTTTCATTGACTCGAATGGGCGTTTTGCCACCATTCTCTCGAAGTAAATTTCCTATTTAACTTTTCACATTAGCCACCAACATTTAGCACCTAATAGTCAAAGCAATGTGTTTGGAATATCAATGATTTCCAAAGAGATTGTAAAAGGTTGAGAGAGGCGGTGAAATGGGCTGTAAAAGGCTCACACAGATTGTAAAATGTCAATGTTGACAAAATTAGCCACTTTTTGCATCAGTCATGACTTGATAAAATCCGTTCAAAGCTTCGTCTTTCAATTATTTGATGATTAGTTCAGCTTTCAGAGCTACATCGCTTTGCCAAGTGCAAGCGATTCAGAGGCAAAGTGATCATGAAATGACGTATGGTCAATGGATTGATATACGCGTTGGTGATCCGCTTCCAAGCGACTTCGTCAAAGTGAATTGCTCACTAGGGGAGCATAATTGGTTTTGTAATATTTCTTTCTAAAAAATTTGAAAATGTAGGGACGGCCTGTTGATGTCAGTGGTTAGAAATGAGAAAGCAGTCGAAAGAGCAAAGGTAAGGCTGAAGTGAATGGATTGTTGAACGGTTTTCAGAATCGAAAACAGCCGGCTGCGTGGTCGGAACTCGATGTTTTCATTCTTGGACACGATTCGGCCTCACACATGATGTATTTGAGAAAATTGCCGAAAACCGTTGCTTACTTTGAGAAAATTATGGGTGGCGTGGTGTTTGATGGTGAGTTGCGCTAAGTTTTGAATAATTTAAACTTTCTACAAGGTGACCGCGAATTATAGCGTCAAGTTTTTGGAAACATAGCTGGGAAATGTCTAATTTATTTCAAAAATGGCAAGTGTTATATAGTGAATTGTAGCCCTAGCTCTCGGCAATATTTATCTACCAAAAACCTTTCGATTGGACTTATACAACTCATTTAACAAGCGCTTGAATGAGCGCGAATCGACATCTCTCCGGCGCATCTGTCATTTCGCAGCTTTTCTACATTTTCCACATTATGCCAGTTCAGCCAAAACAGTTAAGTGTGATGCTTAACCTTATCAAGTGATGTTCAACGCTTTTGAATTGAAAAAATATTGAAAAGCTTTTCTTAACATTTTCAATAGAGGAAAGCGGCGAAATGACAGATTCGACGGAGAGAGATGTCGACTAGCGCTCATTCAAGCGCTTTTTAAATGAGTTGTATAAGTCCAATCGAAAGGTTTTTGATAGATAAATGTTGCCGAGAGCTAGGGCTACCATTCACTATATAACACTTGCCACTTTTGAAATAAATTAGACATTTCCCAACTACTTTTCCAAAAAGTTGTCGCTATGATTTGCGGTCGCCCTGTATAAACAAGCTTTAAAGTTGAATTGAAGGGTTTCAGCTCAGCAAAACCGTTTTCAGCTTACAACATTGTTGGTGATGGAACCGCCCGAGCTTTTGTACCGATTCTTACCGGACAAACAGAAGAGGAGCTTCCGTTGACGAGGTTTCGATGAAACTGGATAGCCTTTTGAAATTTTGCATAGACAGCAATGGTTCTCAAAGTCTTATTATGTGGATGATGTCTATCCATTTATATGGAAAAACTTCTCTGATGCTGGCTATGTGACACTTTATGGAGAAGATGAAGCTCAAATTGGTTGGTAACTCAAGCCAGACAAACAGTTAAGTGAGCCCGGTTTGAAATAAGATCAACTCTGACTTCTGGTTTTGCCTGGCTTGGTACGCCCGAAACTTTATTGCCCGAATTGCCTTTAGATTAACTCTGATTTCAGGAACTTTCACCTTCCGAATGAAAGGATTTAAGAATCAACCAACTGACCACTACACGAGAACTTATTTTCAAGTAAGAAATCGGGTCAAGAATTTGAAATTGGCATAGGAACACGAGAAACTTCATGGAAGAACAAGGTGCAGCGGCTCGAGTCCATTTTACGAGGTTACTTGAAATCATTTTGTCAAATCATTCCACAATTTAGTCATGGTTTCGATATAGCAAAGAATTTATGAAGACTTACAAAGATTTTCCTCGATTTTTGTTGATGTTTATGGGAACTTTTTCACATAGTGACTATAATCGCGTAAGCTATTTTGGGAGGGTTTTTATCTGAGTGATTTCAGCTTGGACAAGTTGATGATGCGATGGTAAAGCATTTAAAAGAAATGCATGAAGGTGGCTTTTTCGATCGTGCATTGGTGGTGATGATGGGCGACCATGGAGCAAGGTTGTTGATACTGTAAAATCTTTGCACTTTGTTGTTAACTTATCTTCTCTCTTCTCCCTTCTCTTCTCCCTTGTATTGCCTTTTTCTTCTTTGGCAAAAAGATAGCTCAGTGGGTAGAGCATGCGGAAAGCAAAAAGGTTGAGGGGTTCAATCCCCTCTCCGGAAATCTTTCTTTGCCATTCCTTACTCTACTTTATTACAGTACTTCTCGGAATACATAGTAGCTGCTAGATGAGGATATTTTTAGCTTACAATCAGTGTCAGTTAACCTTTTTGCTGAAAGCGTTGTTTTTATAAAAACAAATCTCCGCTTACAGATTTGACGAGCTTCGGAACACTCATCAAGGGCAACTCGAAGAAGTGACTGCTTTCTAAAATTGTGACGAAAATATCTATCGACCGTTTTTTGCCGTTGGCAATTTAAGGTTTATCTTGTTTTTCTCAGCACCAATCCTTTGATTTTGACTATTTTGACTATCATTTGATGTAGAATAAAATTGCGCGTCGAATGATATCAAAATTAACTCAAAATATAATAACCACGCAAAGTTACGAGGAAAAATGTTAAGTCCCGCTCATAATGGGCGGGATTTAGGTTTTTAGCCAACAACTTTGCGTGGATATTACATTTTGAGCTAATTTTGATTCTGCATCGAATGATAATCAAAATAGTCAAAATCAAAGGGTTTGTGCTGAGAAAAACACGAAAAACCTCAAATTGCCAACGGCAAAAAAGGACCGACAGACGTTACAAGTCTACTGCTTTCCAATGAATAGCCATTACCACCCATTTAGCGTTTACCGTTTTTCGGATTTGCATTGCCGAAGAAATTACGTGAGGGAAAGATGAAGGCGGCTTGGGAGAATCTTCTTCGGAACAAGGTTTTCCAGTACGCTGAAAATGTTATTGTATCCTTGCTAGGAAATCTTGTCGACTCCATTTGATATTCACGCGACTTTGATGGACGTTCTCCACATTCCAAGCGAACAAAAATTGAAGGCTGTTCAAAATGCATCGAAAAGATCATTGTCACTATTCCGACCATTGCCACTTTCGAGAACCTGTGAACAGGTTTTGAATTGTTTGAAAACGAAAAGAACTGTTTTTTAAAGATGGATCAAATCAAGCTTTATAGCTTGATTTGATAGATAATCAAAATACTTTCAGGCTGGCGTCGCGCCCCATTGGTGCACTTGTCTTGACTGGGAAAATATCACAAATCTAACAAGCACGGTAATTAAATTAAAGAATTAAGCTCTACAAAGCCTTTAGAAAGATTTGCTTCAACGGATTGCTTTGGTCGTTGTGGAGACAATTAACAACTTAACAAAGCCTCATCGAGCTCTTTGTGCACCATTGCATTTGAAGGCGCTGATACACGCTCAACGGTAGATTCTAGCTGAGTCAGTAGTAAGATTCTGCAACTTCGAATTTGACAAACTTCCAAGCAGACTATTGCCCTTAAAATGCGACTTTAGGATGGTGCCTAATGAAGCTTTGTTGAAGTTCAAGAAGACGAAAGATTCGGATCAAATCGTGCCAGATTTTTCGGGCACCAACACATTGGGCATTGTCTATTATCAACTCAAACTTATAACAACGCCGGGTGATGCCGAATATGAGGTTTTGCAGAGATTTTATTACAACATTCAGCTGAACTAGATGAGACAGAAACAGATAATAGAAGTACAGTACCTTTGCAGAAGGTTATCGTATCCTGAGGCATTTAATGACTGAGTTTTAACAATTCGTCAATTTCTGAAGCTTTTTTCCAACCCATAGAAACAATTACAGATTACTCTACGGCATGAGCTTTCATCCAACAATCTTATTGTCGATCTCACTTCGATCAGCCATATCAACAGGTTTTCCAAAGGTTTCCAAAGATTTCTAGTAATTTCGCCTTTTAGATATGGTGATCGCCCTCACTGCATTATTGAGAAAAACTATTTTCTTGGTACTTACTGTGTTTGTTATGATAAAATTTAGTTTATCATTTTAAAATGCATTCACCAAAGACCAGCCAAGATTCAAACATTTTATTTACCTCATAAAAGAGTCAATAATTTTTTGCCCCGATTGTCATGGCCTTATGGCGTCTATCAAATTATCAAAAAAATTGCTTAAAACTCAAAAAAAGCAGGTTTGGAAATGTCTAAAGGTAATGTGGTAATTTTGGATTGGATTCTTTTCTGGAGAATTTTCTAAGGAGTGTATTTTGCAAGTCACTTTTTTCACTCTTTTGTTCTTTTGTTTATAAAAAGCTATGGTTTTCTCTTTGATGAAACAAAAAACAAAGAGTGTTATCAAGAATTGGTACTCAGCCTAATTTAATGACTACAATCAGTCTTCTTTTTTACATGATCATCAGCGCCCTATTCTTTTGAGGATACAATGTTGTAAGCAAAATTCATTTTTTAATTGATACAATGCCGTTTGTTGTTATTCATTTACCATTTAAGAGGCAAGATTTGGTGTTTTTAATCATTCACCAAAGTCAAAAGTTTTCGTTTCCAAGGCTTTTTAAATCTTTCTAAATCAAATCCATGTCTTTCATCACACATTTTTAAACCTTTGTTTTGTTTGTGGTCTGTGGGTACTTTTTGGGTAGTTTTTTCTTCAAATAATCTAAGAGAGCCAATTAGAAGAGTTCCTAATAAATAGGACGCTTAATTCGTCACAGAATCCTAATTTGTGGTGATTTTTTTAAACTAGCTACAATCTCTTTTGTGGAAGATGACTCCATTTTCTTTTTCGTTTTAAATAGAATAACTACAATCAGCTTTTTTTTACTTTATTATATGCGTCTATTTCTCTTGGGAATACAATATTGACAAGAAAAACACATTTTTTAATAGATACAATAACATTCATTTACCATTTATGAGGTAACATTTGATTTGATCATTCAACAAAGCCAAGACTTTCCAAATGTTCCAAGTTAAAAGATCTTTCTATCCTAGGATCTATCAACTTGAGAGTTTCCTTCAAGATTCGGTTTAGATTTTGTTCACAATTAAATTCAATCTTAGGTAATGATGGACGTCCTAAAAAAATTCGCGAAGTTTTAGAGGTGCTCGTCGTTGGGTCGATCGTAACAGGTCGGATTTGTGAACTGACCGCGTGTGTCATTTATTCATAAATACAAGTCGCTGTACTCGAAGCGAGGTTTATCTTGGCCAACTTTTCAAAAGGACAGGGGAGATTACGGCAGTTTTTCCGTGATTTCAGAAAATTTCAGAAAATATATTGGCAACAGTTTAAGCTTTTAGCAAATTGTAGCTTTTAGTAAACAAAGGACCAATTGAATTAAATGAGCTACGGCTAGCCTTAGCCGAAATATACCTTACCGAGACTGAGAAAATGTAGCAAAAACCTGAGTCCAAGGGTGAAAATCCATAAGGAGATATTTGAGTTCACTTGCAATGCCAGTTCATTAGGAAGTAGCCAAGGAATGGATACTGTACAATGGTGATCAGACTGATGACAAAAAAGTACATAAGGTAGTATGTTGAGCTACCAATCATCTGAAAGCCGGTTGATCATCTGAAATCCAATCATCTGAAAACCTGATCTCTTCAGAAGAAACAATTGAATTGAATGAGCCAAGGCTAGACTTGGCCTAGAGAGACCTTAACGGGACCTTACTGAGACCGAAACGTATCATTTTTTGAGGCTTTTGAACTAGCTTTTGTTCTTTAAGGTCAAAAAACAAATTCCAAATATAAATTTTTACAATTTAAAAAAAAATTGTGATTATTTTGAAAAATTAACAAATTTAGGTCTCGGTGTCGGTAGGGTCTCGCCAAGCCCAGTCTGGCTAAGACTGAAAGATCACAAAAACTAAGGACCGACTCCGCTTAGGTATGAAGAAGGCAAATAACCTTGGCAATTTATTAGGTTGACAACTTGAAAGTTGGTACATTTGTTCATTGCACTTTTTGAAAATAACTGGTGCACCAAATAATCTACAGTTTTTACCAATAAAAGCCTATTTATCCTCTAAAACAGGCTTTTGACCGATTTAGAAAAGCTTCGGTTTTGTTGGTTTCTATGCGTAAGAAGTTCAACAACCAAAAATGATGAACATAAACCTACATAAACCTACTTTAGTGTCAATAAAAAAAAGAGAGCATAACAAGTTAGATAAATGGCCAAATTTGTCTTGGTGACCGTTATACTCATGACAGATTGAGAAGAAGGTGAGTTCTACGTTTTTTTTCACTCAATGAAGAGATTCTCTTTTTCAGGTAGATCATGTTCAAACAGCTGAACAGAGGTATTAAACTAAGACTGAGAAAATGTAGCAAAACCTGAGTCCAAGGGTGAAAATTCAGAAGGAGATATTTGAGTTCACTTGCAATGCCACATTCGATAAGTAGTAGCCAAGGAATGGATACTGTACAATGGTGATCAGACTTGTGACAAAATAATACATAAAGTAGTATGTTGAGCTATCAATCATCTGAAAAGCGTTTTCTAAGTAGTTAGGTACCTTACAGGTTGGATCTCTTCAGAAGAAACAATTGAATTGAATGAGCCAAGCTAGCCTTGGCCTAAAGAGACCTTAACGAGACGGAGATCGAGACTCATCATTTTCATGAGGTTTTTGAATTAGCTTTTTTTTCTTTAAGGTCAGACAACAAAGTTCAAATAAAACTTAACAATTTAACAATTGTGTATTGTGATTATTTTGAAAAAATAACAAGTCCTGGTCTCGGTCTCTTGGAGCCAAGTCTAGCCAAGAGTGAAAGAACACAAAAACCTAGTCACAGACTCTGTTTAGGTACAAAGAAGACAAATGGCCTGGTAGTTTATTAGATTGGCAGTTTGAAAATTGGTACACTTGTTCAACACACTTTTTAGGAATAACTAGTGCACGAATTCATCTACAGTTTTTACCAATGAAATGGCCAATTTATTCTCTAAAACAGGCTTTTGACAGATTTAGAAAAGCTTGGGTTTTGTAGGTTTCTCAGAGGTAAGAAGTTGAGAAGCCAAAAATGATGAACACTCGATGTAGCGATTTGCGCACTTTCTTCCACATAAACCAACTTCAGTGTCAATAAAAAACAGACCATAATAAGCAAGATAAGTAGCCTAATTTTCAGCCAGATTTAATCAATCGTTTTTGTTACAGTTTTTATGAATTTTCAAAACAATTTGAATTCCTGCTCAAATTCCTTTGAAAAGTTACCCAAATTTGCATAACCAGGTCCTAAATTAGATAATATATAATTTTTCCTTAGAGAAGAAGTCAATTGGCCAATCTAAATATGTTTTATGGAAAATACGAAAAAGTGTACTCTCAAGTTGGTGTACTCTCAAGTTGCCAATCTAAAATTAGGGTAGTGTAAAAGCAACCGCCGATTTGACGGTAAATTCGAAAAAGCCAAATTCTCAGCTAGATATAATCAACTCTTTGTTATAGTTGAAGAATTTTCAGAAAAACTTGAATTTCTGCTCGTTTCAAAAGTTTCCCAAATTTGCTTAAGCATGTCTTGAATTACCCTAAAATTCCATAGATAAGAGCGGTTTTCGCTAAAAAATACTTTTTCTGAAATCTTGTTATGGATATTAATTTTTTTCCTTATTTTTCCAGAAAAAGAATGAGCTACCAAGAAGCAGCATTTTTGGTCAGCGAAAGTTTTTTTTCCATCTCTTCTGACACCTAGCTTTGAAAAAGCACTATGCACTATTTGAAAGCACTATTTGAAAAAGCACTAGCACTATGTGATGTTGAAATCTCAAAAACGATTTTTCCTGTATGGATATAAACGATGATGACCATGTAGAAATTGAAAATATTAGCTAAATTATTGTTACTTTTGTTGTTGTTGTTGTTGTTTGGTTTTATAATAAATGAAAATATTAAAAAAAATTTGGCAAAAATTAAACAGCATCCATGGAATTTTAGGGTAGATAATATATACCGTAAAAACTCTAATAGAAGCGCATGTGCCTCTAATTTATCTGGTCATTTTTGGAATGGCGTCACCGCTTGTTGTGAGGCAAACGGCAATCCGAATGGTGGTTACTGTGTTAATGGGGCCGCTTTCCGCGACTGAAAAAACGGAATATCTCTACGAGTGTTATGTTCAATTCTTGTGCTCTTTTTAAAATATAAACTGAATTGAAATATGTTTTTCACGAAAACGACAAATGAAATCAGATTTTTGATGTCGAGTTAGAGCTCTTCGTCTTGGTGACCGTTATACTTTGGACGGATTGAGAAGAAGCTGGGTTCTTGTACTTTCCTTTTTCACCCGATGAAGAGCTTCTCTTTTTCAGGTAGATCATGTTCAAACAGCTAAACAGAGGTATTGAACTAAGACTGAAGAAATGCCAAAAAAATAAACAAAGCTAAATTTTCTCCGTGAGCTTCTCTATTGCTCCATTTATGGTTTACACCAAATCCTGTAATCTTTTCCGTGACGATCGAACATTTTGTGGAAATTTGCCCCAAAAACCCATGTGTACAAATTTGTTTACGCGAAATTTTTGAGTAAACAGGAAAGGCCGAGGTATGGACACAAAATGTTGGGAAGTTTACAGAAATTCGGAGTACGCCAAGTGGACGTTTTGTACAAATTGTTGCATTTTTCGAAAAATTTTCCGATGGAAATTCCGGGTATGAAAGTACCAGCTTGTTTGATTTTAGGAACCAGAATGAAAAAGTCTGCTTCGAAAAATGGTTAATAGATAGATTTGCACCAGTAAATATAAGAAATGACTACTCTTTGCTATGCTTATGGTTATGAATAAATGGTACAATTCACAAATCCAACCTGTTATGATCGACCCAACGACGAGCACCTCCAAAACTTCGCGACTTTTTTTCAGGGCGTCCATCATTACCTAAGTTCGAGTTTAATTGTGGACAAAATCTAAGCCGAATCTTGAAGGAAACTCTCAAGTTTAGAGATTCAAGAATAGACAGAATGAAAGAATGAAAGATCTTTTAGCTTCGAAGATTTGGAAAATCT